GTAGAGTGCTTGCCTAGCATGCATGAGGCCCTGGGTTCGATTCCTCAGCACCACATTAGCAGAAAAAGCTCGAAGTGGCTCTGTGGCTCAAGTGGTAGACCACTAGCCTTGAGCTGAAGAGCTGAGGGACAGCACCCAGGCCCAGAGTTTAAGCCCCACAACCGGACCCAAAAAACAAAAACCAAAAAAAAAAAAACTAATGCTCTTGGAATAAGAAATGAACCACTGATTGATTTCAAATATAAAGTTACACATACACAAATAATTATATCTATTCACTTATTTAGTTATTCATTAAAAGATTAATGAGGCCCACAAGGTACATCTGCTATACAAGAGACAAAGCTACAGAAGAAAGTTTATAATTCAGCCAGTAAAAATTTAACCGTATTTCTCTACCTTAGACATTAGAACAGTTCTGAAAATTCAGACATGTGCTATCCAAAGCAAAGTTGAACTATCAGTAGATGCCATCGCTTTGAAAATTTCAACCATGGTGTGAAGACCTGCACCCCTGAGTTGAGAAATGAAGCGTGCAGAAACCCCAAAACTGTCTGGAACATCCAAACTGGTCCAGTTTTTGTTGCTCCCTATGTCCTGACAATTTCCCAGTATCCTGGATAAAGAAGTGGGTAGCCAGAGGAGAAAATAAATTACATGTAAATGTGCTAAGATTAAATGAGCAGAAAGCCAGATGCTCTCCTTTGCACAATCCTTTTAAGCCCTACATACCATGAGAACATAATTATACCAAAAAGTCAACTGCTTAATTGAAATTGTCCATTGCTAGACTGACAATTGACATAGTTTCTTCTTACCACCAAAAGCAGTTGACAGTGACAACAAAGACCAATTAAAGGTATCCTTGCCATGTATTTTCAGGTCACTGATGAATAAGTTCTGACCTAAACATGCATACAACATCTTCTTATTGATTACATTCCCTGACTGTCATTAATCATTTATGTAAATGTAAAACCACAATTGTGTTCAAGGATATCATAAAGCTTTGTGTTATTCTGACTTAACAAAAGGATATATCCTAAATCATTTAATATGATCAGGAATTCTATTCATTCTTTGCTCAGGCATTGCTCCCTCTAGAAAGTGTCCCATGCCCTCCCCAAGATTCATGTCTTCCATTAAAATTCTTAGGAAAAGGACAAGCCACACTGGTCACTAAATCTGAGCACTGCACAACACTTAGCACATAGGAGGTACTGATAAAAATCCGAGTTCATGAGTCCTGCCTCCATGAAGAAAACGGCATCTTATATTTGAAGATACACTAAAGGTTTGACATATAAAAACCATCCATTTAGCCGGAAGCCGGTGGCTCATACCTGTAATCCTAGCTACTGAGGAGGCTGAGATCTGAGGATCACGGTTCAAAGCCAGCCCGGGCAGGAAAGTCCATGAAACTCTTATCTTCAATAAACCACCAGAAACCCAGAAGTGGCGCTGTAGCTCAAGTAGGAGAGTACTTGCCTTGCACTGAGGAGTGCAGGGACAGCGCCCAAGCCCAGAGTTCAAGCCCCACAACCAACAAAAAAAAAAAAAAAGAAAGAAAAGAAAACCATCCAGTCTTCTTTCTTATGAAATACCTACAGATAAGATTTTCTTTCTGTAACTTTCAAACTAAAATCTTTTTTTGTTTGTTTTCCAATACTGGGAATAGAACCCCAGAGCCTTGTGCATGTTGACAAGTGTTCTACCTACTAAGTGAAATTAAAATCTTTCAAAACTGCTTTGGGAAAGAATGTGGCCCAATGGTTCATTTTGTGTGAGAACTTGTGATCTCTTTTCTAACAGAACAGGCTCATCAAATGACAACTGGACTCTAGAATTACACAGTTGCAACAGAAGGTAATGAATCCCAAACTCAGTGCAATCACAGCCTCTTTTGATTCAGTTCTCTCACAAACCATATCCTTTAAAGAAATTGAATACAAAGGTTCCTCTCAAATATCTCAGAGCATAACTACCTTTCTCTAGGAATGGATCCAAATAAGTGTGAAGAAATGAATTCAAGGGAATATGGAGAAGTGTCAGTTTGACGTATTCATACACTAGATAGTACACTTACACAGAGCTTGTGCAAGAAAGAGAGGAGGGGGGGAAGAAATGAAGATGAAAGAAAAGAACAAAAACTATTCATGTATTCAAACTATGTAGCAATTAAATTCTGGTTAGACCTTTTTATTCTAAAAGGAAAAAAAGTGAGTCCACTACAGCAATTCCTAAAGAAGTGACCACACTGACACTATTTAGCAGAAAACCATAAATACTCACTACTGAAATTGATGGTTGACTTTAAAATTCAATTACACCCATCTTATAAAAGAAGCATGGCTTTATTATAGTCACTCCTTGGCAGCTGTCATAAATTATAACATTGGCTTGAAAGCCAATGGGTTTCACTAGACCTTTATAATGTAGCAATCTCAAGTCAGCTGTATTTGGGTGGTGGTGACAAAGTCAGCTGATCTCTCCATGTGGGCAGATTAAACATTAGCATTCCTGCTTCTGTTATTCAGAATGATTATTGTTAATAAGCATTAATTGGTTATCACATACTTTCAAACACTGTCCTCATTTCTACAGCTAAATCCTTAGTGGTTTCTTCTGGCTGAACAATGACATTGTACATTTCACCACATTAACCAAAAACACTTTGGGGTCACACTAAGAAAACAAAATAAAATCAGTATATTCATTTAAAAAACTATCTGAGACTAGTTAAAGGAAATTAATATACTGCAATTTATTGGTATGTCCTACAAAAATAAACCACTCAGCTTTTATTACCTCATGAAGTGCCAAAGGCTAAAAAAGAAGATATACTGGATAAACAAATGGGAAAGAATATGTCTCCAGTATTGATTTTCACTACATAATAGTGCATCAGATATTTTAGGCATTTTATATAACTTACTCTTCACAATAACTATATTAATACTCACAAGTGAGAACTCAGGAGTTTAATGAATTACTACTGATTGTCCAAGATATACAGTCTAACAGCCTTACTCTTAAACCCATCTTAGTTTCATTCTGATTATAGTAGAAATTAGTGGCCACTAGTTTGTCTTCCTCTTGCCTACTACATATACGATCAGTTGGTTCCAGTATAATAAAATCCCCAATTAAAAGAACATATCACACAAGACGTCCTATGTACTATACCATTATATGCCAACAGTAAAACTAAGTTATCCATGAAAAACGAAAGCTCAGAGGTTGAGGGACCTGTCCAAGGTCACTCAGTTCCATAGAGCAGCAGCGAGAACCAGGATCATCTGACTCAACCCATATTCCTAACTCATGCAACATATAAATCCATAGAAAAGCCTCAAGTCAATAGCTTTGACTAGTCAACTAGCCTCAAGGCAATTAGGCCCTCAAAAGTCCCTAAATCATCAAAATGCAATCTCTATTTTGATTTGGAAGGGGAGGGATCAAGAAAATAAATGGCTAAGAAAATTTGGTTGGTTGTTTTTTTTTCTGTGATGCTATTTCTAATAACTATATTGGGCTTGGTACACATACAGTAATCACTTGAAACTTCAATACCTCTTTTACAGTATTCCACCATAAGATTTGCTATTCTGAACCATACTTCTTCAAGAAGAAATAATCAATTATATTCACAGCACTGTACTATTTCCTAGAGGGAGGATATAAAAATCCACTAGATCTTAGATTTTTTTTAACAAGAGTTAGACTAAAAAGGAGTTTCACATCACTAAATCTGAGTAAGCTAGAAAATCCAATTAACTATAATACCAGCTATAATGCCAGCACTGCAGATAATCCAAATTTTACTGATTGTCGATCAAAACCTTGAAATTATTTAAACATAAGGAATTTTGATATGAATGTCCTTGGTTTCTTACTGAGACCCAACTGCAATGAATTATTTAGCACAAAACTGGAGGGACTCCAGCAGAGTCATTAGCATTAGTAAATACACAGTTAATGTGTTTTAGAACAGAGCTTAATGGACTCCAGGACCGGCCTGCGTGATGGTTTGGGTGGGGGGCTAAAACATCCTTGTTAATAATGCACGGGACTCCTCACCTCACACTCTTCTCGGTTTCAAACTTCATCCCTAGGTCTGAAGAATGAAACTACAAACCCATCTATGCAATAAGTAAAATCAGCACTCCATACTGGTTTCTTAACAGACTTGGAGTCAGCTTGGGAAAGATGACACTTGAATGCACTAACACAAATGTTTAAATCAAAACCAGTAACAACAACAACAAAACAAAAAAGGTGACTAGATTCTGTTCCCCGTATTCTGTCACTTGATGAAAGTTTGCTTTTCCAATGAATGGGTGACACTTATTGGCACTCCAGGGTTTTATTTCCAGGGATTAGCACCAGTATGATTAATCTCCATTAACACCTTCATTAACATGGATGGCCAGTAAAACAAAGGCCAGGGGGTTTCCTGGGCGCGCTGGGGGGTGGGGGTGGGGGGTTCTGTGCCCGCGGGTTTCTCTGGCTCGGGGCAGTTATCAGTGAAAGTTGTGACAGTTGGGGAGGCGGCTCCATCTTCAGGGTAAAAGGCGTTCTCCGTGGCTCAGCCTCAGCACGGACCCAGCCTCTTCCCCACGGCACCGCGATCACCCGGCTACAGCTCGGGTCCTGGACTTTTTTTCCCCCCTCGAAGAATCCTAAACACTCTTTGGCTCGGCTTTTGTTGGTTAAAGACAATGGCCCCCCGAGCTCGAGCGAATGGAACAAGTTCGGGAGCCTCCATGTCCAGACAAACTTCGCTCCAACAGCTGGACGCTGGGGGACACTTTGAGGACGGAATTACCAAACCTCGATTTCTAGGACTCGAGGTACGGAACAAAAGGTCCCCAGGTATTCGTCCCACTTCCCTTCAGACTGACTCTATTAAACAATACCGGGGCGCACTCGTCCACCTTTCGCTCATTCCCAACGCTAAATTATCCCCCGAGTCCATCATTAACAAAGCCTAAAAGGGTTCAGAGCAGGGCAGCCTGGCAGCCCGGGACGGCCCGGTGGAGGTAGGGGCCGGTGTCCCCTCGTCCGTCCCCCGCGGGCGGGAAGTCACCGCAGCGCGAGTGGCAGGAAGGAGACACCCAACTTGAAGGCTTGAGATGGTCCGCCAAGGCACCCCCGGATCCAGCGGGGAGGGGGTGTCTCTCCTTTTCGTCCTGGCCCTCCCGCGGGTCCCCAGCACAGTTGCCTGCATCCCTCCCTCCCTCCCTCCC